ATAGATATTTTTGAGTAACAGGGGTGAGAAAATGATAGGAAGCCGATTAAATAGCACCGCTGCACCTAATGCGGGTGAAAGGTAGCGCCCAACTGAAAATTCCTAACTCAACCAAGCGATTTCGAAAAGAAATGCGAAATTCAAGGAAATTTACAGATCATTATTGCAAAAACAACCGCGTAGAAAATGCGAGCAATTTTATGAATGTGAGGAACATGTGCCCCCTCCCCTCCTTACACGGTGGGCTGACCCTCTTCTAAAGTTATACGGCCAACTGTGGCGTAGAAGAGCTCGAAACAGAGCGGCTGGGAAGATGTGCGATCTGGAACCGGGTGCAGCAAGGCCAACTCGGGGATGGGTCCCCAAAACTGCGTCTCTACTCTGGTCGATGACGCAACTCTCATGGTCAAGAATAGGGGAAGCGTCCAGAGATGCAGTTTTGGGACCCATCCCTGAATTGGGATTTGCTGCAGCCGCCCCTGAGTTTCGGGCGTGCCCGAGACGAATAGGGGTCGAGAGATAAGAGGTAAGGAAGAATGGAAACTACCATCCACCCAGCCCCCGCCAGCGAAACCGTCTACAGCGGGCTACACAGCCCCTCTTGACAGTCGACATTTTTTGAGCTAAATCTAACCAACTGACGCAGAAAAGTGCATCAATTGTATGCCATTCATGGCGCATGTCATATACTAGTTTGGATGTTTACATGGATTGGACAGGTCGCCCTTTTTGATGAAGTGAGCCAATGATTTTAATAACTATAATATTTACCTCGCTGATAGGGTAGATGATATGCATGTGTAGGTGGTTAACGGTGACCAGTGGTGGCCAGTGAAATCCAACTCGAAGCATATCCTCTACAGTATCCGCTTGTCCTTTCGCTTTCAGTTCTGCTCGAAGATACTCTCGACCGTCTTTTCCATGTCGATCACTGAAATCCTAGCAAAAATTACGCGACCTTTCCCATGCATTAGAAGACATAGAAGCTTTTATCTCTAGCAAAAACACAAACACAGCGGAATGTCGGCGGCGGTGAGATCTGTCGGCCTGTTGATGTGAGCTTTACTAACGGCTAAGAAAATGATGCGGTGTTTTCGGCTTGATGTCTCGAATAATGACGCACTAAAACAGATTGTTACAATGGAAAATCCCTTCAAGCTTATGAACAATTGTAAATCAACGAATGAAACCGTCACGACTTTGGTTTTTGTGCACTTTTTCGTACTAAAGGCTCGTAATCCTCTTAGGAAGACGACTTCTACAATGGGAACTGATACTAATCTAAGCTAGAAAAAGGAATGGCAAGGAAAGAAATGGGCATCTTAGGCAAACGTCTGCTCACGAAAATGTTCAAAAAAAAGCCAATTACAACAAAAAATTACCCTAAGGAATAAAAAGGATAAATGCATTCGGCCGTTATCGCCTGAAACTGTAACTCACCTTTGGGCAATGCGCCCACTGGCCCCATCTCACGCCTCATCTATAGCAGCATTCGCTAGTGGCATTTGAATGCGATGTGGCCTATACAATGACTTGCGGGGCCAGCCGATGTACAAGTCAGTGTTTTTATCCTCCCAGACAAGTCTGGTACCAATTAACCGACCCCGGAGGGATGGAAGGCTTGGTTGGCCCGGGCGACTCACGACCCAGGATTTGATCCCCGGACCGCTCGCGTGGTAAGCGCGCCACTTGTCACTACACCACTTCCGCCCTAAAAAAAGAATACCCCTGAAAATATTTATAGGTGAGTTTGATTGATATTGATTGATTGACTGTTATTGTTTATTGTTTAGCAGCCGTTCACAACCTGTTACCTCAAACCTTATTACAAGGGTGCTGATTTATGGCTAAAACACTATCTACGAGCCATAATTACTCAGCAATCGCTTGGATAACGGTCTTTTGAGGAAATGTGGCCAAATCACAAGATAAAAATCCCAGAACAAAATCTGTTCTGGCTAAACAGAGACTTTCATTCCTCGCGTGGTTCCCTTCTCAATGATACTACTTCCCATGCATGTTGCTTTCGCGATGGTCGTGATATCTGTCGACAGATTACTTGAAGCCAGCCCTTTAGACCGCTCTGCCTCTCGCGTCTCTCTTTCTCAAGTCCAGCCCAACGTATTCACATTCTCTCATCGCCTGCGCTGCCATTTCAGGCAGACCATCGCAGAACAAATCAAGCAGTCCGTAAACCTGATAACTAGTAAATAGATCGCCTAAAAGCTGAAGTGAAAATGAGCCTTGATGGTGTAATCGTGCACATTGCCGCAGTCTAGATAAGGAAAGTTAAATTCTTCACGAGCGAACGTGCGTCCCTCTAACGTATTCTGTGATTCCATGGCGTTCTTAGCTGAGAGGTGTCCCCAGACCATACGCCCACGTGTGAAAAGCAAGAACCCTCGAGTCCAAGCCTTTCCCTCAAACGCAGATACCTCTAAATTCGCTCTCTAAAATCGATTCCGTCACATAAAGGATGATTTTACCACGAAATTAACGCAATCGTGTCCTCCTAAGCACGTCTTCTGAAAGAGCGATTAGATGTGAAAATTATCCTGTACCTGGTATACCAATCCTCGTTCTGTTTCGTCAAAAAAAGTGGGCATTTTCGAATTAACAATTCACTTATAAATAGCGAGACCAAATAACACTCATTCCTTGCTCCGACTCGAGCTACCTGTGCAACTTTAGCGGTGAAAACTCCAGTTCGGGGGGGGGCACTCCATTGCTATCTTATCCGTAGTACTAGAGAGCAGTTCTTTGGGCTATCGAACACTACGGATAAGATAATAAGTGAACGACTCATTTCGAGCGTACTTTTGATAAGGACCGGTGGATGTCCTACATTCCACACTACCTGCCCACATCCCATCCACTTTTCTGCACAGGTGATCCACCCTGGAGCTCCTGCACCCTTAGCCCTTTGCGGAGGTGTCCTTTCTCCTGGTCCAGGACCGTTCCCTTGGGTCATGGCAGGCGGAAATGTGAAAACGTTTCAGGGTTTCAACAACAAATACAGTTTACTATAAATTAGTCGATTACGTGTCGTGAGCTCTCTAATCCTTATCTTGGGTATGGAAAAAAAAATGAGTGCCCCCCCCCCCCGAACTGGAGTTTCACCCTTCTATCGATTGTTTGAGCCAGTTTCATTCAATACTCCGTGAACATGTTTGGGAAAAATCATTAACAAGGAAGAAGTTTGCCCTATAAGTCAAAAGTAAACCTTTCATTACGAAACATTATAGTGGTGGGGCAGACCATACACTTTCTACAATGCCAACTTTGAACGATTTGGGTTATATGATTGGCGTTTCCTCGGCTCAAGCGCTAATCATACAACCCAAATGGTTCCACTTCACGAAACCATGGAATTCGTGGTTTTGTGAATTTTGGAAACTCGTACCGTAAATTAGTAGCAGCCAAGAAAACCGTAAATCCAGAGACACAGTTTTGGTATATTGGGATATCTTCGTCATAGGCCAACTCTTTGGCTATCGACGAACTACTGCATCCAGCTGCATAAGTTCAAAAGACAACTGTGGCGGCCAGAAATTCGATCCACATCCAACTTCACGAGGTGAAAGATCGCTTCGGATCGAGACGTGATATATTAAGGTCCAAAGTATATAATGGGATGCAGAAATTTTTGATCATCATCATCTGTTTTTGACTGACACTGTTACTTCTTTTATTGATTGGCTGAGCAACCAAGGTCTATCCCGTTGACTAACTTTATTTCAAGAAACTAGAGCTAAGAAATACCGGCAAATGATGCGAACATGACAAATATAGTTGTTTCATCTTCACAATGCATAACAAATTGTGTGTACCCCTTTGACATTACCAGGAGCAGTACAGTAGGAAAGCTCCGAACTTGTGAAGGAATACGACAGTAAGAAAGGTGTTGATGGGCTTCACAGACGATGAGTCGCAAGTTGGGAAAACACAAGATGATGATCAAAACATGATTGTCTTGAATATCAGATCAGCCTATTAGATTTTATGCTCCAGCTAGTCCTTCACAAAAAGAATTAGGAGCACCGAAGCACTGCACGCTTCACTTCATCAGCAATCCTACCAAGGCCCTACACAACACATGGGTAAGAACAACATGAACATATTTCCAGAAGTAATTGCACGATTGGCAGGAAAACCGGACAGTACTGCGTGACTTCAATCCAATATTTCACATTGGAAAATAATGTTTCTACATCGGGAGCGACCTCCTTCCAACGAGAAACCAGCTAATTTGCTTATGTGCGATTCGAGCAACAACAATCGCACCAGTAGACCCATGACCAACTTCTTGTTTAAAGACACGAAGTACGACGAAAACCACTTGATGGGTCCCATGTTTCCCTGTGTTTCGGTACCACCGTTTGAACAAGGTCCGTAAACCATAGAAATGGGAACTCCCCCTACTTGGCCTCTTGTGACATATCTGCATTGATGCGACTCTCATCGCTGCGCCCTCTTGCAAACTCTAAACAGACCTCTTGCTATTCTAACGTCGCCCCCCATATATACTTCTACGCCAAAGGATTAAATAAGTCTGGATCGTAAGCCCGCCAAACCGCGCAAGAGTGAGATGCTAAGATCGCCCGAGTCAATCTCTCGCTTGCCCAATTGCGCGTCGATCAGCACCCTCAGGAGGTCCGCCTCTCTCTCAACTATGCAATTTCCCCCTTCTTTGACCTTCATTCTTATCTATAATTCTTCTCTTGAGGAAGAAAGCTCTCTCTACCTACTGATATTCACAACCTTCCGAACTAGAGACAGAAAAGGAATGACCAGTGCAATTTTGTGAACACTTAAGCAGAGGCAGTGAATGAACAGGAGAAGAGAGAAGAAAGAAAGAATACAGGGAATCTGAAGATAATATAAATCTCATCTTAGCATTACAATCTATGAAGCCATGCTTCTTCCGAATAGTTGAGCTTCTTTCCGAGGAAATTCTGTTGGCCCGATTACAGTAATCTTACTTCCTTCACCACACGCAGCTGTGCAAGCTTGATGACTGCGCCATTATTTTCCAAATTCAGACCAAGACATCGCAGTGATAATTTAGGACATTTTATGCTAGCTTTCACCATCCTTCTTCCAAATCAACGGCATGCCTAGGGTTAATTACACAGTCAATCCACCACCACAAAAATTATAGCCTCATTCTTTTGAATTTCTCTCACTTTAGACCACTCTCCTCCCAAAGCTCTCCCCAGTTCGCGTGACTCTGCTCTGAATAATTGCTGAGTTCTGCAATGGATTGGCTCGTTATGTAGGAGACCCTAGTGCCTACAGATTCCCACCGTGGTGGATTGACTATGTAATTAACCCTAGGCGTGCCGTTGATGTGGAAGAAAGGAAGTTGACAATTATAGTAGTACTCGATTCGATACTTCATCACAAAGAACTACCATAATTAAGTTATCTTACTTAGGACCTTCATTAGAAAATAAAAAATCGGATTTAAAACTGACGAAGAATGGGCTAGAATGAAAACAATTCTGTAGCTAAGGAAATACATAAGTTACGAATACTACCATGTGCTGCCCCGTGCAATACTAAAGCGCGTTAAATGAGATTGTGATGTTGTAAACTAAAAGCTGTTCGCACGAAAAGATGCTCCGAGGTTTATGAGTTGATTGGATTTATAGCGGTTTGCACGTAGCCGCACAAAACGCTATGACTCCGACGTAGAGAACAACAACAGATATCCAGATTACTGAAAAGGAATGAGAATTGAATGGGAAATTACCATACCTTTTCTGATTCCC